TCCACTGAAAGCCCTTGACCCTAAGCATTTGAAAGTGACTAACAGCCCAGTGTGGCAGCCCTGGGGTAGCAGAGCCCTCTGTACCCAGAGGAAAGCTAGCCTTTCTATCAGAGCTGTGCTTCTTAAACAGACCCTCAGGAGGATTCTGTTTCTGATGGGTCAAGAAGAGGAGTTAGGGTCCCCTGGGCCAGCAGCAGTGAGATGGCGTGCAGGATCAGTGTTCCCCTCTCTACTTATCCCCCACTTCCCGTCAGGACATGTGGGCTTGGGTATTCTCTGGTGGATCCTCCTGGCATTTTAATTTTCCAAGAGCTCACTTATGAAAGAGGGGAGAAAGAAGAGGAGAAAGTGGTGAGAGTTCAGGACCTAAATTTCTTTACCTCAGAGTAAAAGAAACCATAGAGTTCCTTTCTCAAAAGACGTCAATCATCAAGGCTCTTCCATAAATATTTTATTGAATTCTTATCATGCAGTGTTGCACTAGGTATCAGAGATGAAGACACTCTTCCTGTCTATGAAAAGTAAACACAAGGGCTGGGCACTGTAGCTCATGCCTGTAATCCCAGCATTTTGTGAGGCCAAGGCGAGCAGATTGCTTGAGCCCAGAAGTTCGAGACCACCTGGTAACCTGGTGAAACCCCATCTCTACAAAAAATATGAAAAAAATTAGTTAGGCATGGTGTTGTATTCCCAGCTACTCGGGAGGCTGAATCACGAGCTCAGGAGGCAGATGTTGCAGTGAGCCAAGACTGTGCCACTGCACTCCAGCCTGGGTGATAGAGTAAGACCCTGTCTCAAAAAAAAAAAAAAAAAAAAAAAAGAGCAAGAATTGAAAAGAGAAAAGAATGAACTTTCTCAAAAGCAAACACTAAATTACAATACAATGAAACAAATGCTGTAAAATGGATGTCATAGAACTTTTCCTGTCACCCCAGGAATGGTTGCTGGCACTCAAAACTAAGAATAAAGAATTGTTAAATACCCCACAAGCTAAAGAAAGCAGAAAACAATTAAAAGTCAAACACTTTTTCCAACCACCACACCAGCTGCCTAGCACTTGCCCAATTTATATATGCTATTCCTCTCCCACTGCCTCCCCGCACAGGGGCAAGACAGCAGCAGGGCAGAGAAAGACTGGGTGGTAAGGAGTGGCCTGCTCTCTCACCTTCCATGTGGCAAGGACATGTGAGCCAGCTGTCATTCTCTTCCTACTTGATTTCCCTTCAAAGGTCTTCCTTATAGCTTAAAAATTAATCACCAGCCTTTCTGACAATCCTTTTCTTTTTCTTTTTTTTTTTTTTTTTGACATTCTGTCACCCAGGCTGGAGTGCAGTGGCAAAATCTCAGCTCACTGCAGCCTGGACCTCCAGGGTTCAAGTGATCCTCTCATCTCAGGCGAAATACTTGAGACCACAGGTGCTCATCACCATGCCCAGCTAATTTTCGTGTTTTTTTGTAGAGACAGGGTCTCCCCACGTTGGCTAGGCTGGTCTCAAGCTCCTAGGCTCAAGCCATCCACCCACCTAGGCCTCCCAAAGTGCTGGGATTACAGGCTTAAACCACCATGCCTGGCCTGAGAATCCTTTAATCACTGATCTAGCTTTGAGATAATCTGAGATATCCTGGAGCTTTGAGGTCACTAGCCACAGGTGGCTACTGAGCACTTGAAATGTGGCTAGTCTGAATTGAAATGTGCTGCTAACTGAAAAATATTCAGAAGACAGTACAGGATTCTGAAGACAGTACAGGAGAAAAAATATAAAATATCTCCTTAGTATTTTATCGATCACATGTTGACTAATAATATTTTGAATATATTGTTTGAATAAATAAAATGCTATTAAATTAACTTCACCTGTTTTACTTTTTTTTTGAGACAGAGTCTCACTCTGTTGCAGTGGCGCAACAAACTGCAAACTCCGCCTCCCAGGCTCAAGCGATCCTCCCGCCTCAGCCTCCCGAGTAGCTGGGACTACAGATATGTGCCACCATGCCGGGCTAATTTTCGTATTTTCATTAGAGATGGGGTTTTGCTATGTTGGCCAGGCTGGTCTCAAGTGAACCACCCACCTCAGCCTCCCAAATCCTCTCTAAGATTACAGGCGTAATCCACTGCACCCAACCCTGTTTTACTTTTTAAAATGTGGCTACTAGACTACGTTGCCCAGGCTGCACTTGAACTGGGCTCAAGGGATCCTCCTGCCTCAGCCTCCTGAATAGCTGGGATTACAGGCACATGCCACTGCACCAGGCACTACTTATATTTTCTAATGCTGTCTTCTAAGTTTTAAACTGCTTTTTCTAAAACTTATATGGCCTATATTGTGTTACCCCTAACTTAACATGAATAATTTCTCTGAGCAGTGGTCCAAGACCCCTGAATGACAACATTCAAACTAGAATTTTGGCCGGGCACAGTGGCTCATGCCTGTAATCCCGGCACTTTGGGAGGCTGAGGTGGGAGGATTACTTGAGGTCAGGAGTTCAAGACCAGCCTGGCCAACATGGTGAAATGCCATCTCTATTAAAACTACAAAAATTAGCCGGCTGTGGTGGTGTGTGCCTGTAATCCCAGCTACTTTGGGAGGCTGGGGCAGGAGAATCACTTGAACTGGGAGGCAGAGGTTGCTGTGAGCTGAGATCGCAACACTGTACTCCAGCCTGGGTGACAGAGCAAGACTCCATCTCAAAAAAAAAATAAAGAAATAAACAATCTGGAATTTTAAGGAAGTTGCAGGCTTCACTATGACAGCTGTGGAATAGAAAGAAACTCTGAATGCCAGTCCAGGGTAACTTTGGAGCTGGGCCCCAGTTGGGAAGGTAGATTGTGAGTAAATGCTGGAGGTGAGAGAGTTGGAAGAAACAGTGCAAGGAATGATCCACAGAGAGGGGGAGCATTACCAATTTGAATGTAAATTAGCACAACTTTTTCAGGAGGCAATTTGTAAGTATGTATCAAAAGTCTTAAAAAAGACCATGTCCAAGACCAGCCTGGCCAAGATGGTGCAACCCCGTCTCTACTAAAAATACAAAAATTAGCCGGGTGTGGTGGCACATGCCTGTAATCCTAGCTGCTTGGGAGGCTGAGACAGAGAACTGCTCGAACCTGGGAGGTGGAGCTTGCAGTGAGTCAAGATCGTGCCACTGCACTCAAGCCTAGGCGACTAAGTGAGACTCCATCTCAAAAAAAAAAAAGACCACGTCCTTTGACCCAGTCATTCTATTTCTAGTAACTTATAAGGAAATCTTAAAAGTTCACAAATATTTAGCTATAAGGATATTCAACCAGCACTGTAATAGCTAAAACAAACAAAAGCAAAAAAGAAAAAAGAAACATCCAAGCCGGGCGCATTGACTCACGCCTGTGATCCCAGCACTTTGGGAGGTTCAGGTGAGTGGATCACCTGAAGTCAGGAGTTCGAAACCAGCCTGGCCAACATAGTGAAACCCTGTCTCTACTAAAAACACAAAAGTTAGCCAGGCATGGTGGCAGGCACCCATAATCCCAGCTACTTGGGAGGCTGAGGCAGGAGGATCACTTGAACCTGGGAGGCAGAGGTTGCAGTGAGCCGAGACCACACCATTGCACTCCAGCCTGGACAACAAGAGCGAAACTGCGTCTCAAAAAAAAAAAAAAAAAAAAAAATGTGCAAGTACAGTGGCTCACCTGCAATCTCAGCCCTTTGGGAGGCCAAGGTGGGAGGGTCACCTGAGACTAGGCTACACAGAGACCCCATCCATACAATGTTTTTTTTAATTAGGTAGGTGTAGTGGTGTGTGCCTGTAGTCTTAGCTTCTTGGGAGGCGAGGCTGAGGTGGGAAGAGTCCTTGAACCTAGAAGGTTGAGGCTGCACTAAGCCATGATAGCGCCACTGCACTCCAGCCTTAATCCACAATTAATATACAGCTATAAAATGGAATATTCTGCAACTATTACGAAGGATGTAAGTGAAAACTTGACATGGAAAGACATTTATTCTAAACTCTGTGAAGAAGGCCAGATACAGAATTGCACCTCCAATATATATGTCAATTTTGCTTACAAAAGAAAAAAAAAAAACATGCTGGGTGTGGTGAGTCAGCCTGTAATCACATTTTGGGAAGCTGCAGTGGGAGGATCTTTTGAGGCAAGGAGTTTGAGACCAGCCTGGATAACACAGCAAGACCCCCATCTCTACAAAAAATGTAAAAATTAGCCAGCCGTGGTGGGTGGAGGCTGTGGCCCTAGCCAGTCAAGAGGCTGAGAGGGGAGGCTAGCTTGAACCCAGGACGTCGGGGTTGCAATGAGCTGCAAGCATGCCACTGCACTCCGGCCTGGGTGACAGAGCAAGATCCTGTCCCCCAAAAAATTATTTTTTATTTTTATTTTTTATTTTTTTTTGAGACGGAGTTTCACTCATGTTACCCAGGCTGGAGTGCAATGGCGCGATCTCGGCTCACCGCAACCTCCGCCTCCTGGGTTCAGGCAATTCTCCTGCCTCAGCCTCCTGAGTATCTGGGATTACAGGCACACACCACCATGCCCAGCTAATGTTTTTGTATTTTTAGTAGAGACGGGGTTTCACCATGTTGACCAGGATGGTCTCGATCTCTTGACCTAGTGATCCACCCGCCTCGGCCTCCCAAAGTGCTGGGATTACAGGCTTGAGCCACCGCGCCCGGCCCCAAAAAATTATTTTAAAAAGGCAAACAAAAAAAAAACATTAAAAGTGTCCATTTTCAAAGACAATTATCTGAAAGGATACTCTCAAAGGGGTTAAAAGTCATCTTTGGACAGTAGGACCATAAGTGTTTTCTATTTTTACCACTTTTATAATTAATTTTTTTTTTGGTCTTTTTGTTTTTTTCCTTTTTGTGGAGAACAGGGTCTTGCCATATTGCCCAGGCAAGTCTCGAACTCCTGGGCTCAAGCTATCCTCCCGCCTCTGCCTCCCTAAGAGCTGGGATTACAGGCGTGAGCCACAGCGCCCGGCCTGTAATTAATTTTTTAAAGTAATTTTTAAGTAGTCCTACCTAGTCTTCCTTACAAGTTAGGACTCAGATGCCACTCTCTTTCCCTAAACTGTCCTGAGTCCCCTCACCATAATAAGCACCAATGTCTTCGTTAAAATCCCGACACTTTGCCAATACTTAGCTAGGGGGTTGAACCTCGCTCCATCTAGTCCTTTAGTCCTCTGTGTGAGTCTTTCCCCCTACAAGCCTATGGACTCCCTCCCAAAGGTCCCTCCCCTTCGTACCTGCCCCACAGGCTAGATCAGACCCTGTCTGACCCCTGGGTTATTGTAAAACTGAAGGTCTGGCCCCTAGGTCTCAGAGTCAGTTGAATCAGAGTCCAGAGGTTAAAAAACACTGACACAAAAAGCCAGGCCAGGAACTGAGGCACTGAGGCCCGGCTGCAGACCTCTCTCCTGAGAGGGGAATAATTCCGCTGGGGAGCCACGTGCGGGTCACCGACTGTCACCGCGCGGGCAGCCCAAGCCTTCGCCAGGCTGTGCGGCGGAAGCGCAGTGATGTTTTCCAGTAAAGAACGCGGACGTTGCGCCGTGATCAATTTTGTCCCTTTGGAGGCGCCGTTCCGGTCCACGCCCCGCTCGCGTCAAGTGACTGAGGCCTGTGGTGGAGTCGGACGTGGTGTGCCTCTGGGTTCTGGGCCGGGGTGGACGGTGGGTGGGATGGAGGCGACCTTGGAGCAGCACTTGGAAGACACGTGAGTAGTGCGCGCCTCTTCGGCCTGTCCTGAAGTCGCGGCGGAGGAACTTGAGCGGGACGAAAGGCGCGAGCTGCGAGTGCCTGCGAGGGCGTCGCGCGACCCCCAGGAGAAGGGATGAGGGAGCTGAGCCCTACCCAAGGGCCGCAGGGCGGGGCTGGTGACCCGGAATTAAAATTCTGCCGGGCGCCGCACATCCCCTCTTGAGCGAGTCTCCCGGGCCCAGGCTACGGCCAAAACTGCTTTTCTCCTTGTTGAAATCGTCTTTACGGTCAGGGTTGCTCTGCGGGAGTTTTAGGCAACGCGTTAACGTTTGGGAAGGTTGTGCCGGTTGTGCACAGTCAAGCCCTGCAGTGTAAACAAACATTTATCTCCTGTGTGTATCCTGTCAGTTACTTGGTACTTCGTAGATAAAAGTCATCCTTTACATTTTTCGAACGAGCAGTATTTATGTAAAATTCGAAACTGGAAAAGTATAAAGGCTACAGAAACACCTGGCCTCCCACCGTTGTCCCTCAGCTTCCACTTACCCTCCAGGAGGCGATTTAAGAGTTTTTCAACAGTTGTTTTAAATGAGTTAGTACTAAAACACGCATTTTTAACGAGAGTGAAAACATCCTAGATATTGCAATGTTTGTGGCCCTCCAAAACTCAACAGTACTTAGCACAGTTTTTTCTCTCATGAGAGAGAAACTGGTTTATTTAAATTAATTAATAAGAACTTAATTTTTTTCTTAGAGTGTGATAATGAAAAAAGATTGAGAAACATTGATTTAAAGCACTTAAACAATGCCTGGTACGTAGAACACGTGTATGTTTATACTCGCTCAAATCCTTTTTCTCCCATTATCTGCTTCAACTCTCTGTGTTCCTGAAATTAGAATGAAGAATCCCTCCATTGTTGGAGTCCTGTGCACAGATTCACAAGGACTTAATCTGGGTTGTAAGTATCTCTCATACCAACCGTTTGATGAATTGCGCAGCATCTGATGTTGACTTGGAGCCTAGCGTGGTATTATTTTCTAGCTTTTATTTCCTGTTACCTTGCCAGTTCTGAGTTTCTGAGAGTAGAGATTATCTCCAAATAACAATATCAGAAAATTGAAAGGTTTCAATTGGTATTTATGAAGGAGGATGTTCCTTGCAGTTCTATAGCACTAAGTAGTTGTCTTTACTAAAAATAGTATTTGAATCATGTTAAATTGAGTCTAGAAAGGACTTCAGAGAATGACCGCTGTTAACCATTTATTGAATGTATGTCATATACGGAGACGGCTAGGTTCTAAATACACTATCTTTAATTTTCACAACCCTGCAAAGTGGGTGGTGTCCTATTTTTAAGCTCAACTACACTAAACAAGAAGTGAATAGGCAGTAAACTGGGGTTTCAGTGTTGGACATACCTGGGCTCAATCCCTTACTTTTTGATTTGCTAGTAATATGAACGTGGACCAAAAACTACCTTTTAGGGCTTCATTTTCTTCACTGGGTTGTTATTTAATAATGGTAATAATTATAGAATTACATTTATTGATCTCTTATTATGTGCCAAGCACCATTGTAAGTGCTTTACGTATACTAACTCTTTTATTTCTTAAAACAACCCTGTGAGGTAGAAAAAGAAGTGGAGGGGCCAGGCGCGGTGGCTCATGTCTGTAATCCCAGCACTTTGGGAGGCCAAGGCAGGCAGATCACTGAGCCCCGGAGTTCAAGACCAGCCTGTGCAACACAGTGAGACCCCCCCATCTCTATTTTATATATATGTTTTTAAAATTTAAAAAGGCCAGGTGCCGTGGCTCATACCTGTAATCCCTGCACTTTGGGAGGCCCAGGTGGGCAGATCACTTGAGCCCAGGAATTCAAGACCAGCCTGTGCAACACAGTGAGACCTCCCCCATCTCTATTTTATTGTTTTTAAAATTTAAAAAGGCCAGATGCCATGGCTCATACCTGTAATCCCAGCACTTTGGGAGGTGGGTGGATCACCTGAGGTCAGGAGTTCCAGGCTAGCCTGGCCAACATGATGAAAACCCATCTCTACTAAAAATGCAGAAAAAAATTAGTCAGGCTCGTGGTGGCAGGTACAGTAATCCCAGCTACTCAGGAGACTGAGGCAAGAGAATCGCTTGAACCTGGGAGGCAGAGGTTGCTGTGAGCCGAGATCACGCTGTTGTACTCCAGCCTGGGCAACAAGAGCAAGACTCTGTCTCAA